AATTTTATATTTTACCTGAAATTATAATACGTGCTTCTGGATGATTACTTTCTCACCCTTTTAAGTTTCGAATTTTCCAAAGTAGGAAAATGTGTTGAAACTTTTAAGTATTGTAAACTAAGTTTTTGGGGGATTTACATTTAGAAGAATAATACTGTCAGCTCTATCGGCCTGAAAAGAGAATTAATTGACGGATGAAAGATTGATCACGTAACAGGACCTTAAGACTGACTTCCGACGTCAAACAGCCTGACCTATTTCATAAGGCTGAAGATACAAGATGGCCGGAATACAAAATGCCAGTCTACAGTTCATCCGGGTTTACGATTACTTCGGGACGAATTTTATGAAGATACTTCTACTTCTAAAACAGGATGAACTTGTAACTTTAAGCGAGCTTATGCCTGTTTCTTGCTTCGGTAAGAGTTTTAAGACTTCGAGAATGTTTAAGACGGACAAGATAACGAAGTGACTTTCGGAACTCGGCTGGATTATACAACATCTTCAAAACTATCCACGATTCAAATATTTGTTAAATAAAATTCGAACACTGTTCGACCATTTGAATATTCAACGACTGCGATAATTTGATCGATGCGTTGAAAAGATTGAATTTTTTAAAGATAAAATGAAACTCGTGTAACGGAAGGATTAGTATATACGTTTTTTCCAAAACTTTATTGACGTCGTTCTTTCGATTTTCCTCCGTTTGCTGAAATTTCTCTGCGACGAGAAATATTTCTCTTGGCGTATCAAAAAAAGCTTCGGGCATAAAAGCGTTACACGTCGCGGAGGTCGTATTATCGTGCTCCCTTTGAAAATCTTCGGATCGTAAATCACCCTTTTTACGATCCGGTCGCGAAAGTCGTAGCTCCATAATTACGCTAACGCGCACGTCTTTCGCGGAAGCTTAATTCTGGTTGGGTAAAGCACGGCTGGAAGGATAAATCACGAAGGTGGCGAAGGAGCAAGGATATTATTGTGACAGTAGTCAGACGCCAGATAGGGGAAACGAAGGGAACGCGCACGAGCTGGTGCTTGGAGAGTGAGCTAACACACCTATAGAGACCATTCTAAGCGTGAGCGTAAACGAGGCCAGCCTGGGGAAGAAAGAACTCGGAGAAAAGGGATAGAAAAGAGATTTATGCGCTGGAATCGGTGTACACGGCAACAAATCAGTAATCTTTCGAATTACTCTGGTTGTGAGATGATACGGTTCTGGTATTCATTTTCGGTGGCTATTCGCGGGATACCTTTCGAGAAAATATCTTGATGCAGCAATAGATGGACTGATAATTTCTCTCTTTTAGAAAACAGCAATATAGTATTCCCCGTTTACATTTTTTCTCCTTGCTTTATCAATATAATATACCTTCTTATTCGATTGAATCGTCTTTTATAAAAGAAAATTCATGATTGTATCATATTTTTGGTTCGACTCCACGCTGTTCTTAAATTCAGCTGTTGTTATTAATACACCCACCCACCGTATTGATCGCATCTTGCCCAATCTAATTTTTACTTATTCCTTAGATCACGAATATACACTGTATTCGAATATTTCGACAAAACAAAGAATTTTGTGCTAAATAAATATTTAAGTTATCGCGAACACGCCAGTCGATAATCCTCGAAGCGATAAATATTCTGACCAGCAAACGGTTTCTTCGAGCTTACATTTTACAAGATTTCGACGCCGCCGACATGTTTTTTAAACGGGACGACGCGACGTGCATTCGTAAACGTGGTTACGCAGCTCGCGAAAGTGCAACGCGCGCGGAAAAAAGCAAAAATTTTTATCTCCCGACGGAATTTTGTAAAGTATTTTCGCGAATGAAACCCGCCGCGTAATTGTTTACACCGTCGTTTTGCTTGGACGTTATTTAATGAATTATTCTGATGGAATACGTCGCGCGGCAGCGGAAACTGCGGCGTATGCGGAACGGTCGTGCGACGCAGCATAATGACGTTCGTTAAGCTCGATATCGGTGAAAAGTTTAAATATAAAATAATTACGCGTTAACGTACGGTACGAATTGACCTCGCGTCGTTTTGATGCGGAACGAATGCTCGTGAAATTGCATTTGTGGACGTATTGTTGCTAGGCGCATCGTAGTGGTCAGTAATATATATTTAACGCGTTAAATGCGCTGATATTTTTAGTAGTCGTTGCCCCAAAATCTTTTATTAATATTACCAGTGTTAATTGATACTTAATAAATTATGGATGTTGACAAAGATAACTAAATCTCTATTTTATCGAGTAAAATTAATAATTATCCTTTGGCATCGCGAATGTAAAATTCCGTTTTACGCTACCAAGGGATTCCATGTCCAGTTCTATTGAGCATCGGTAGGTCGGTCGACGGTTAAATATAACGACGAGACCGGATACAACGGTGAACTAGTTAGAATTGGAAGCTGATAATACGTAGCCTAATTCCATATATGGAACACAACGTCCACAATTCCGATTTAACCTTCGCTCGTGACAGTTTTATACTTCGATGGACGCGTCGAATGGGGGAGGCGCTGGAGCGGACACAGTTTCATCTTGCTGCAAACAAATTCACGCGGATGAAGGAATGGCGCTGCGATGGAACTCGACGCTGACGACTCGAACCGACGCGTGCAGCCGCGGATATCGGGGAATTAATAACATGCGGAAAAATAGAGGAATATCGACGGGAAGCAATTTATTGCTAGGGCCAAGACGAGAAGTTTGCTTTTCGAATTATACTAGTCTCGATACTCTTTTCATTTACAAATATTCATTGCAAGAATTCGAGAACAGAGCCAATTTCATTCGAATAAAATGTAACCATCGAAATCAACATAAAATTATTCTGGTCGTTCACTCGATCGAACAGTTAAAATTTGTGTTCGTTACGTGTGAAATATCTTGCTGTTTAATTAAAATTTTTATTTCTATTCAACTCTAATTTATGTAGCAGAAGTCGATAGAGCAATATTAATTTTCTAATCTAAGCTCGTGCTACGAAATTTGATAAATGTTTCGAGTAAAAAAATAATTCCTTTGAATATGATCGAGTAATTGTTGGGCAGAATTGTCAAGAGTTTAACAATTCATGGAAGCGTACAGTTACGATGACCAGATTAATTATGAAACGAGATGAAATAACTGTGTTAAATAGAACGTAACATTCAACAGAATTTAACCAAGAAGCCTTCTTGCTAATTTTGTTAACGAATTCCGATTTATCAATCGCGTCGCATTTTATTGGGACTGGTTGACTGTTCCATTCGGGGGGGGGTAAAGTTTCTCCATTAAAGGCCTATCTTCGAGCAGCATTTCAGAAGTTCCAGCTCGCGGTATTCGGCCCGCAGATTGCGCGATCGCTAGCAGACGGAAGTCGTTTAATTTATCGCCGTGCGCAAACAGGGTTGACGACAATGCCGCGGACGATGTAACATCGACGACGACTGGGGTATCTCGGGAAACGACACGATGCAACGTCGAGTTATCTCGGATTCTCATTGTGCACGGAATCGGACCAACAGGGGGATGAAGGTGACGGGGCTGGAAGGAGCGCCGTAATGCCCGGAATAATCGAAGACGCAAGATGATGACGAACGTCGAGGCGAATTTACGTCCCAGAGGGAATATAAACCGAATGCATCGGTCAGGCCGGAAAGATCCATTGTTCCGGAACGCATCTCTCCGCAACCCCATAAATGGAATAATTCGGTCAATGTGTAATGCATCGTCGCTCGATTGCATAGTAACTTGCCATCTAAATTCAATTTCTCAATTCACGTATTTAAAAAAAATTTCTTTCCTTAAAAAGTAATGATCCCTTAAAATTGAAATTTCCTTAATAACGACCCCTCAAAGCTTCAGAATCAAAAATATTACTTTTGTAATATGATCAATACAATAATTCTTGACTTTGCCAAGCTTATCTTAGTTATCTTAGTTATCGAATGTTGCCTCTTTGAGGGGAAGAAACTTCAGAATAGATCCTCACCCTTATGCGTCTCCTTGTTTTCGCGTGCCTTCGTTGCATCAACAAATATCTGCGGACCACTCGAGGAGGATTGTCAATTCTCGTTGCAAGTCCGTAATTCTTGATTCTGTTTTGTGAAATGTTGTTACCATTAGCAAGCATCCCCTTATTGCACGTTTCCTACTATTTTACAGTGATCAAAATAATAAAAGAAAACGAAAAAATAGCATAAAGAAAATTTATAGAAAAGATTACAACGAGAAATAAGTTTCTTCGGCGAATTCTCGATTGCCACATGACATGATAAAATATGTTGCTAATTTACTTAGGAGTTCTGTGGGGGAATTTTATCCATTTGCTTTCATCGTATTTTAGATAAGATTTTTTAACGATGACAATGATATATGACATTCAGTTACGCGGATTACGACGCTCGCCAGGAACGCCGAGGGAGAATATATTCGTGGACTGTTAAGTTGTTTGACAACGGTGCTTCGCAGCATTTATTCCCGAATCGCGTCGAACTGCCAGAGACATTCTCCTTAGGAATGCTCAAACGAGAGCTTCATTGTATTCGCCACAATGGGGTACCACTCGTACTCCATTATTGTGCATCCCTCTTCATGGTAGAACTGGCGCGTTTATCAGCGGCGTACAAGCAGCGACGAACGCTGTATCCGACTGCTTTCAAAATCGATACAAAAGACCTACCTTCTTGAGAATATGCTTAATCCCCTGGTATCGAAATTCCCCTCGAAAACGTCGACGTCAATTAACGTTCGAACCAACGAATTAAACAAATTGACAAGTGTATGGTATTCTTCGAAGGAAATTACGTCAAGAATCCTGAAATAGCCTGATATTATTTTCATCGCGAAGGAACAATTACAAACAAAACTGCAAAGAACTTCTTAAGCAGGATGATAACTTCGCAGGATGAAAATATTCGAGAAAATATTTTTCAAAGAAAATTTTCCTATATTTTCATATAAAATTGAATGGCTATTACATTCGCCATATTGTCTTTTTCAGGATTGCTGTTCGTTGGGATCCGCACAGTAAATACGCGTCACAGCAATCATAAGTTGTAAGTATTACTCTTTGTTTTTAACGGTATTACAATATAGCTACGTTTTTTGCGATACCCACAAGTTAAAATTGAAATTAAAAAAAAATTTTTCTTTTCGTTCACTGAAAAATGTAACCTTGCTTCTCAATATCGTTTGACCATCGCGTTTTTATTTTTCCTCCGAGCAATTTCAAATTAATTAGAAACTTTTTTCCAATCCCTTCTATTTATTTTCTTCGCGCTTTGATCTACGGTAACAAGTTTACTTTTCCACGGGCAATATTCAATTTTATAACTGAAGGTAGATTGCAAACTATATTTTCGACGCCAAAATTAGACGTCCCTCGATTAAACTAATGGCAGGAGTCCAAGCGGAGGGAAAATCGTACGAATATCGACGACCATCCAGCGAATTGGCCAACAGTTTACGGCCTTCGACAAAATTTTACTTACTAGACAAGATGGCGGCACGCTGTACCCAGGGTCGAAGGAAAATCCAACCAGACCAGCGTCGTTAGTTGCCTAATCCGGCGATGTATCAGTGTTACGCTGGCGCCGATGGCGTCTATTGCTTCGAACTCGTATTGCACATTGTCTCGTGTACGTGTATGCTCGCGATCGTGTGCACATAGGGAACCGTCGCGTCCAGGGGATACGAAGTTTTAAGCAGCTTAAGCTCGACCGGCTGTAGGACAATCCGAGGAAAAACACCAGGCGTAAGACGGAAAACTGGCTTCGATACCCTGGAAAGAAATTACGCGATAAGTTTTCCGATTCGACTGGAACCAACTGTAATCCTGACTTTCCCGTATTCGTTACGAATCGTGTTTCCAAACAATTTCATATTCTTAATACTGAACACGTTTCGATAAAAGAAACGAAAGATGAGAGCTATTCCGTTTAAACAAATTCTGAGTTTATCTTTTTTAAAAATCAGCTTATTTAATTAGAAAGAAAAGTTTGAATTCGATATCTTCGTTGATTTTGGAGAAAACAGATACCTCGATTGGGCCACACGGTATAACGTAAGATCGTAATGTGTCGTGTCGTGAGTAGATTCTATAGCATACATCGTGCCTCGTAAGAAGGATACGCGTCAACATAATTAAGTTTCATTTAACAAATTACCGTTCGCCGTCAGTGTCACTTAACACCATAAAAAACCAGCTGCAAAACACGAGTATCGCTAGGAAATTTAATTTGGGCAACGAACGAGGACATCCCTCATTTTCTTATGGATAATCGTTTCCACGTAAAGACATGTACATTTATTCTTTCGCTTCGAACTTCGTAGTTTAAGGTGTTCGAGTAAAACTTTACATTATTCTTTTGCTCGCTACACTGCAAACAGTTACCTTTCTTCCTGGAAGCAACGCGACCCGGCTAAAGATTTAAAATATTGTTCCGGAGGGGGACAATTACAAGGGCACAATGGACCCGAGGAATTTAACGTTAAAAGAAGCTGTGTTCGCATATAGAAATCGAAACATGGTTCAAAAATAGATGCGCCTGTCTTCGCCGGCGCATTGTCACCGATGGCTATTCACGTATGCGCGCTTACATCCCCAATGCGGACTGAATACACCTTTTTATAGGCGCTCGAACAATAAGCGTGAACCTTTGAACGGGAACGTGTCGACTAGCGTGCCACTGAATGAGAGAACACCCGGTGTCCCTTTAAATGGAGGTTCCATCTCGTCTAATTAGAATTCATCGGTAAATCGATGTTTCGTTCCGCGAGCCGAGTGACCCCGTTTTCAGACACGACCATCCCCCGACCTAGACGATCCACGCATTTTTCCAAATATTTCCTCACACGGACTCGCAAGGGCGATTTTTATTACCCTTTCCAGAAGAAAAGCTCTTCAATAATATCTGCACATTCTAGAAAATCAGAAAACAATATTTAATCAACATTTCATGGGACAGTCCAGTACGATGGACTAAGTAATTGTCCAAAAAATTGAACATTTTCGAAGTTTCAACAGCGTAAGAAGTTATTGAGTATTATGTATAGTGAATATACCCAACTACCGAAAAGGGCCACTTTTCGAACATTGTCCGTTTACAAACCACAGGGTCGCAGTATTATGCGCGAAACTTTCTTGTCTAAACCAATTATCTGCATACTTAAGCACACCGCGAGGATCGTCGACGAGATCTCTCGTCGCGTAAACTCGTGATACCGATGATTTAAGCCGCAGCTGGATACTCGGTGCTTCGTACTTAATGTTCAAGGATAGGGTGCGGAGTTTATCGCATATACCAGCGATAATAATCGCAGGGACCGTGGCTACCGGGGTTGCTACACTCGTGAAATCGTTCCTCATAAATCTCTGCAAATGAAATGCCATGCAACGTTCGTTGTTCGTGAACCTAGATTCTCTTCGATACCGCATCAGGCTTCGTTAATTGAGTATAATTTATTTGCGAACGAACGATGGACGATCAACTTGGATCAAGCATTTATATAGAAGTTGGCAAATATAAAGCGTTACGAGCTATTTTCTCTTATTAGCAATAATAACAGAATTTTATTTAAGCATTTTACCCTTCGACGAACCCTACTTATATGCAACGTAAACATAATTTTTGATACACAGGAGCAATTCAAAATTTTTTAATAATGTTCTGGAAGATTAATCAAGAACCAGGTAACGCGTCTGACCATTACTCGCCATTTCTACTTGTGATTGTGTTCGTGGTTGCTATCGTCACTCTGTCTCGAAAACAATTACAAAAATGTTCTATAATGTTCACCTAATTTCCGAAATAAGTAAAAAACTTTGATTCTGATGCAAACACGTTTGCATAGACTAATAATTACACGATGTCGTCCTAATGTCCAAATACGAGTATCAACATTTAACAGATTCGATATCGAACGATAACGAAAGTAAACGGCTCGAAGTTGTCTGCCAGAAAGAAAAAAGAAAATACTATTGGGAAAGTTGTCGTTAACCAAACAGCGTAGGAGAAAGCGGCAATCTCCCGAAAGATTTTCAACAGCCTCTGTTTCCGAGGGTTATCCACCCCTCAGGATGCATCGACCCCATTACGTCCAGACGTCCGCCCTCTTAGTAGCCCTTCAGTCAGCCACGAGACGCGTCACTTCGGAGAGAACGAAACCACCCTCGAGACATTGGACGACGAGCATGAGGAGTCCTGGCCAGGGAACGCGAAGAGGGGAATAGAGAACCGAGGAATAGACGCGACGTAGACATCGTGTAAACGCGATGACGTCTTTGAAACTTCGTGCTTCTGGCGTGACAAACAACTGTAACGAAACGAAATCCTAACACTTTGGTTGCTAGTTATTTGGTACCCGTTAGTAATTAACCCTTGGACGGCGGACTTCGGATCCGTTCTGACCCGAATCTGAATTTTATTATGTTTGTTATTTAGTAAATATCAGAGCTTAGTTGTGGAATAGACAGTTTGTACGAGTCCAAATCAGAGATCTCCATTTCACGTTTATCCAAACCGTGTTATAATTTATATAATTTATAATATACGGTTGTATTTATATATTCGTGTCTGATTTATGCATTATGGAAATATCGTTACACGAAAGAACGAATCTTCATCGCATTAGTTTTCTTATATCAAAATGCAAAACCATGTTTGTATTGCAAATTACATTAGTAACAGTACAAAATGAAACATGAATATGTTAATGAGCGGGTACACGTATAAATTACACGTTTGATCATTGTATTTAACATTTGTACGTAACTTTGTACAGTGATTTAAATATTGCTTGCTGGAATTCACGAAAAATAATAGTTTCTAAAGGCCGAGAAGATACTCGACGAACTGCAAGCGATTCCATTTCACCGTCGACTAAGAAACGAAAGATAAAACGTTGTCCTGAATCTTCTCGATCGGTTGTTGATGTGTTAAGTTGGCTGGAGAAGAAACAAAGAAATGGCACGGGAATGAATACGATCGCGTGGGCTTTTGCGTTGTCGCGCCGTTATTGCCTCGCCCTGGAGAAACTCGGTCGAGTTTATCCTCGCGACGGAGAAAGAAAAGTCGAGGCTTTATGGTTCCCGAGTTTTGATTTATCTAAGGAGAATCGCGCGACTCCATTGTCGGAAGATCGTATCTCGCCGAATTACGGTCCCGCGGTGTTTATTCCGGAAATAATGCTGCTCTCTTCGTCTGCTTTTATTTATTTTTCCCTGCAGTATAGCCCGCATATCACGATCGAAGTATAATCTTAAATAATTATTCCTACTATCGGTAAATGACTTTGTTCGATTTGTCAGCGATATTCTACTCAAACTTGTTCCTCTATAGGCACTTGTCAAACGATCCAATACAGATCTGGAAGACGAGAAAACTGTATTAACTGAAAATCAAATTACAGTATTTAATATCAATAATATCGTATTTAATTTTGTTACCAGTCGAAAACTAAATTTTTTTAAAAAGTCTAGAAAGTTTTGAGGTTTATATGTTATATGAGGTATATAGGTTTCATTACGATCTCGTACAGTCTGATACAGACTTAATTTCTATTTCATTGAACGAAAGTTTTGTTCAGTTTCGTGGGGCCGACGAAAAGAAATTATTTATACAAATGGATTTTTTCCTATTTTTAGGGATTCCTTCCAGTATTTGGCGAGGACTGTTGTGCTCCCACAGACGAATGTTCGCGAAACTGGCACGCCGGTAATGGATCGACGAGAACGTGTTCCGAGCATATTTTCGAGGCTCGCGTTGGAAGTGGTTTTATTGAATGAAGCGCGTTTCACGACGGTAAATTTACCGCGTTATCAAAGCCGAGCCACTTGGCCAAAACGAACGCGTTAAAACGGGACGTTAATGCGCGTCCATTTCGGTTATTGTCAGCGAACGAACTTCCCAACGATGCGTCGCATTGCATTTTAATTGCGCCAGGCATTGAACGGCAGAAAGAATGCGAATATTTCGTAAATATTAAGATGTCTCTGAAAGAATCGTGTAATCTATTGAAAAAAAAGATTGGCTATCTTTTGGCTAATTTTGTGTAG